CTGTATAATTTTATTTTGTTTTTTTTGTTTATTATTATTTACTCCTTTAAGAGATATTTAAATACGTGTCTGGTATTATTTATTTACTACAGTATCTTCTTTTTTCTTATTCTATATGCAGTAATAATTAAATAATGTTACTAAGCTGGTTAACAAAGAAAGGTTAAAAACTTAAGCTTTCAATTTTTTATATTATTTTAGCATTGAAATTTTTTACAAGATTTATACTTTTCGCTATCTTTAAATAGCGAAAAAAAAAAAAATTAAAGAATAACTTAACGCTTAATTATGTGAAAAATCCAGGTTTTTCGTCTTTTCTTTTTTTTTGTTTTTTATGTCCTACAAAGAATGAAATTATTGTAAAATGAAATTATTTTAAAATGCACTCAAGTGCTTTAAAGTTTTTTAACTCACTTTGCATTTTTCCGGTTCTATACATAAATTTTGAAGAATTATATCCATTAGTGGGATTATGTGCATCACGCGAAGTCGTCCATCGTATTTCGAATTATTTTTCAATAAGTATAGTGAATAGTTGTGTCATTAAATGTTTAACGGTTGTGCATAGGTGCATATATGAAATGTTCAAATAATTTGCAATAAATTAAGCTAACAATTTAATTACATAAATGTTATTTAAATGATTATGAGCTATGTCATAGCTATTCAAATCTCGCATATTTCAAGGTTCAACTTAGTCGTTGAAAAGTATTTTTGAATTTTTCCATGATTCTAATAAATATTCAAGCATCATTAAACTCGTATCCAGTTATATATATTGTAGAATAGAGTTTTCTGGATAATTACGAATGTATTTGTAAGGAATCACAACGCTTTTCGTAAGACTTGTGGGTACGGCTCTGTATGTCAAACTGCTGCATTCCTCTTCCCATTTTGAGAAGGCGTACGTGTAACAGACAGAAGGGCGAATGTGATTAAATTTTGCGCTAGTCGGTGAAGAGTGTCTAATATTTTATTTCAAGTGTATTGATATTACCGAAAAATTTGTGGTAACGTCGATCATCGCTAGTGACGACAAAATATTATTTCAAATATTATTTAGCTTTCTATGCTCTACATGGTTTAAGGTAATTTTAAGTTTAAATTTGTGCGGATGTATGTAATACACGGAAATTTTTGAGATAGATCCATCTTTTACTACACCAGTCGATTCAGCATGATGAATCCAGTTTAGTATGTCTTTGGGCTGTTGTGTCAAACCTGCTTTTATGGCCACTCTTCATTTAACACTCCATTTTCAAAAAATTGCTATACGAAAAAATCTGGAAATTACAATATTTCTCGATAAAAAGGACTAATTGAGAGGATGTCAGCATAGGTTTTTTATATTTCTTGACAAAAACAGCTTAATACAGCGGTTTGACTTGAAAAAAGATTCTTCTTCTCTCTTTATATAGTAACTAGGTATAATATTCTGGATATATTTTATGATGTTAATCGGTACAAGATAATAATTTGACAACTGAATTTACTTTGATAGGCTCAGACTAGGTAGGCATACGCCTAAACAAACAAATATTTGTTTGTAATAATTTTGATATTTTTTTAACAAAAATAATTTAATAGCCGGCCTTGGATGTAAAGTTTTAAATTTGTTAATAATTGTACTCGTCGACAGGCCCGGGCAGAGAGAGATATTCATGCTATTTAAGAATAAATACACACATTCGATTTACGTGACAAGTGAAATACGTGATAAATGAAATAGGAATTTAATGTACACATATTTTTTAATTTTCTTAAGCTTTTAACTTAAGTTAAACTTGTTCCACATCTTACTTTATAAGGATTATACTGAATAACAATGTCTTATTTGCCAAAAATGGTAACAATGTTATCAAATTTTAAAGGAATATCTATTATAAGATACAAGCTACTACTTTCCTAATTGAAAGCATTGCGGTTGGCCACGATTAGGCCAACCTTTGCAATGAAGGTTTATATAAACATTTTTGAGCTGTAGTGGTTACGCTCATTATCAAATATGCTTTCAATTTTATTGAAAGATTTGCAAGATTTTCAACATTCGCTCCAAGTCATAAATTGTCAGTGAAAGCACTTTTAAATTTCATTTTTTGACTAGGCTTATCTATGCACTTCATCTGTGGAAGTTGTCAAGCAATAAACTTTTACTGTTCTCTAACTTTTGCATTTAAAAAATTCTAACAACGTAATATGACAAAATATTATAAACACATAAACGAAATGAACGTTAGAAAAATTCTGATTAGATTTGGACCTACACAGTTCGGTCACTGTTAACAAAACGCAACAGTTATAGATTTTTGTATTATATTTGCTTCATTAAAAATCTTTAGAACACAAAATTTGTGCCTTGTTTCATTTCACTTCTATAAGAAACTTATAAAATGTACAAAAAGGGTAAAATTCGATAAAGTCTTCACATAAATTAACTTTTTCATTATTATAGCAAATAAAACTTTATATATAAAGTTCAGTATTTTAAATTAACAAGAAATTCCCATGCTTTCCAGTCATTGGTTAATTTAATCAACTTAAAATAAATAAGATATTTCTCTGGAATTTAACGCAATTATTTTTACACACATTGAGACTATTTACCCCCGGAGTTTAAACTCAATAAAATTAGGTGCATTTATAAATAACTGATAGCTTGCGTCAGATATAAATATTTGATTTGAAGAATGAAAACGAAAAAGATAAAAAAGTCGAAATATTCAAAATACACTGTGAGACAAACATAAATTTTTTGCGTGGTTGTTAATTTTGAAGCCTTCCAGGTAATGTCTGCGAGAAAAACGCGGCTAACCAGATGTATTTAACGGGCTCAATTGAAAAACGAAATTTTTGACCTACATAAAGGATTCGATCTGCTAAGAGACTGTTTGGACATCATTAATAAATATTTAAAATGCATAAAAAAAGTTTTAAAACGAATATTTATAATGCAGCTGACCATCCCGTAAGGTGGATTTATAGACCCGCCCGTAACGGAAAATAATATTTTAGGAAAATGTTGATATTGGAAAGTAGCCTAACGTCAAAATAAGTGTCTGCACCTCTATTCTAAGTTCATTATTTCTTTCCTTTTAAATTAGTTTGTAAATCAAGTCGTCATCGAACATTTTCTGTAAACCGCGCGGCTTATCAAGCAATAATTTCTCCATGAATTTGGTAAGATTACTGACAAAAGTCCAGCGAATTTGACATTTATAACTCTTAGTCGAGCCAAAATTTTGTGATCTATATATTATAAGCACGGAAATTTTGCAATTTTCTGCAAAGTTGTAATTTTAGCGAATGTACTGTGTTCTCGACTTGCGAATTCGATTCAAAAAACATGTATCAAGCATTGACTTTTCATACATATTTGTTTAGTTTGAAAATGTAGGGACCAGGCAAGAAAAACGATTCAGAAACTTACGATCAGGCAAAGCGTATACGCACGATTTTCGTATTAGTAGGCGTAGTGGAACTCTCATTTATTATTTATTTATTATGAAGTAAAAGACAAAACTTGTTAAGACGTTTAATATAGTTGCGCTTTTTAATATTCGAGAAAGCGAAAACGCCTTTGCTTATATAAAGAAATTTACGTTTTGCTGCGACTTTGACTACGCTTGATCAGTTTGTAGTAACCAAATCAAAAACTAATCGGATTGCGAGAATAAGGGAGGATGAATATAATTCGATTAGTTCAAAATATTGTACTTAAAATGTAGTAAATGTAAATGAAAATATGTATGCTTCATGAAATTTCGGACCAACGTTACTGATGGCCATCTTCTTGGAGTAGGTGCAGCAATTCAACGCAAGCCGAATATAATACTGTTCGTCAATTATTTCGAATCAAGTTGTCTTCTTAAATGATAGCTTTCAAAAACGCATAGGATGACTTTTGATCAAAAAATAAAATGAGCTGATCAAGTAATGAATTTTTCATAACTAATCTTCTATGTGGTGACGTAGACGAGTAAATACATTATTTGTTTAGGCAAAAATAAAACTAAAGTTTTTTTAAATGTTTTCATTTTATCATATTTATAATATAATCTTTTTTTTAAGGTTTATGATTAAAAAAGAAAAATAATTAAAAAAAGAAAAAAATGAGTACAGCTAACGTAATAAATGATTTGCAAAAATTTCATTGTGTATATATTTTTGTTTTAATTTCAACTTCTTTGTAAGTTTAATTTTTCATTTTTTTTATAGTTTTTTCGTATTTCATTTCAATGATAGCGAGAATATCTTTCTAAAAGTGGTTGCTTTCAATAATGTTGGTTATTGTTAGTCGTTTAAAGCAGAGCCGGCAGCACAAGGGTTAATTGCTTTAGCAATGGTTGCATCTTACTTTTTCTTTATGTTTTTTATATTTGTTTTGTTCAAGATTTTAAAATTCAACTCTGTCCCTTCCTAAGTTAAGAACTATAAAAGAACAGGGTTCTATTGAATGCACAAGCACACACAAGCATTTGAGATTTTGTTTAAAAAATATTTTTTTTTTCAACGAAATATTTTGCAAGCTTTTCATATCTTTTCATTGTTTTGCTTGTGGTTGCGTATTGGTTCTTGCTTTTTCAAATAAGAAACATAAAAATATAAAGTAAAAAAGAAAGATGAATGAATGGAAAGACGATTAAACATCAGAAAATTATTAAAGAAAATTGTTTGGAAAATCAAAGACGCAGACCGATAGTTAGAGAATTGAAGAGGAAAATAAAACGGTTTGTTGCCTGTGCTCTTGTCGAAGAAGCTAGATATACGTCATTTACAATTGAGATTTGTAGCTCTTTTGATTGCTGTAGATGTTCTTTTTCTTGTTATTGCAAAGAAGCGCCAAAATAAACAAGAAAATTGTATGTAAATGGTTTCTTATTGTTAAACTTCCAAAACATCCTCTTAGTTATGTAAAACATTGTACAAATTTTCATCGGCATTATCATAATCTTTTACAAATTTTCCAGAGTGTGCTCCGTGCATGGGAATGCTTGGGGCAATCAATTTAATTCTTTGTCTTCTAAGTACTTGTATTCAAAGGTAAAGCCCTCTTTTTTTCGCTGACTCCATTTCTCATAATCGAAATAGATATACGTGCCCTAGAATGTTACAATACATTTTTTTTTCATTTGAAATTTTATGAGAGCAACCGCCGATAAACACCTACTTGTTCGTAGTCATCATTAATAATTTTAGGTTCCTCATGACGCTGAAACCACATCATGTACTTTGTATGAAATCGCCAACTTTGCTTTTTTAATGCCTTGGCTGCCAAATATTGAGCTTTTGAACCTTCCATATAATAGAAAACAAAGAACAAAGTTTCTGTTGAGAGACGCTGGTAAAATTCAACGGTATCATAAATTGGAAGTTGTTGCTATAAAAAAAGTATAAAAGAGACAGAAAAAGAATCATAATTTTATTGATGATTTGGTTATTTGATTAACGATCCATAAACCTTTATCACGAGCGTCATCAGACACTATTTTAACACTTTTTTCTTGTTTACAATGTCGAAATTCAGAGTAATTGCCCTAGTCTTAAACCAAACATTTATTTACTCCTCTTCTATTTAATTTTTAAAGAATTTTGATCTTCATTTCGTAGACACTTCAGCTCTTTAAATTGTCGAAATTAAAATTACGTAATCGCATTGCCTGACAAAAATTAAAAAATAGTCGCCAGTGAACCCTATTTTGAGGGGAAATGGATTCGTATATATTAATAGCATCACTTTATCCCTCCTTAATACACCTATTAGTGAATTTATTTGCCGTAAAAAATACGTAAACATATTAATGGGACATTGAGAAGTCAAGCAGAAGACTAAATCGCGCATATTTGCTTAGATATATCTGGATAAAGGGATATTTGAAAAAAAAAGTATGTAAAATTTTCTATTTTTCTTCTTACCTGCGGATAATGTGGTGGTGTCTGCACTGGCGTTCGATGAAAGTACGTTGTCAGTTTTTCCGAATCACTAGGTGTGGGCAGATGATAGTAGGCGGCTTCCATCATTTGAAACTGTAATTGATGATCTTTATGTAGTGGCGACGGTCCAAGAGGCGCTACACCCAGCAATGGCGGTATATGCGCCTCATTTGTAGGCTGCTGCTGTTGTTGTTGTACTTGTTGCTTGCTCACACCACCAATAACTGAAGTGTTTGCCCCAACTGGTTGCTGACCAGAAGGATTCGTTAGAGCGGTTGCACTAAGCCCACTGCTAACGGATCCAATATTATTACCGCTGCTGGGATTACCTATCACCGTGGTAGGGCCATTTGTTGCTGCGGCTACCGCCGCCGCAAGTCCGGCAGCAGTGTTTTGTTGTTGATGCTGAGAATTGGCAGTTGTATCATTTGTAAAATGCTGTTGGAGTACTTGTTGCTGCTGCTGCTGTCTAGAATCAATGTTTGACCCCTGCTGTTGTGTTAAATTATTACTGTCGATCACAGACCGATTAATGGCCTCTTGAGCCATTGTTTTGAGTGAGATAGCATCCACTGAATTATTGCTAGCAACACTGGTTACAGGTATACCTGAGACAAAAAAGTATAGCAGAAATTATCACTAAGAGAAATTAAAAATCCCTAATGACATAAGCTTTGTTAAAGAGGAGGTTTTACGGTAAACAGTAGATAAGTTTGTAGGTTAATTGGTATAATATAATATTTAATGTATCCAAACTTTTATAAGCCAGTAAAAAATATTGATATTGACATACATTTGGAATTATATCGGCTATATGTGATAAAGAAAAAATTTTACATTTTCCCTATTTATTTGAAATTGTTGCAAATTTTTCTGTTATTGTAAGCATATTGGACCCGTATGTACGTATTCGATAATTTTTGCAGTTTTGAAAAGCAGGAAACGTCTCGCGTGATTGGATACAAGTTCGTACACAAATTTATAAAACCCCTTTTGCCTACGTGTATGTTTCGAACTGAATGACAAAATTATTATAAGGAAAGTTTTCATAAAATTACCACCTTGCACCTTCACTCGAAGGTGATAGATTCCCAACATTTTCCGATATATAAATAGCATAAGTCGTGGTCATTTAATTGTCTTACTATCAGGCTAGCCAAACGGAAAATGATATAATTAGTCCCACAATCCATTACCTTTCACGATCCTTCAATTATGCAAATTTAAAATAATCACTCCTATGTATTTATAAAATAATATGATCACCTGGAAATGATTGCAACCATACATCGTTTCGCTCACTATAATAATATAATACAAGATAAATGTTTTAATGAAAATATTAGAAATCACATTTTCATAAAAGAATCCGAAAATTTCCATATAAATTGCAAACGTTCGTTTGATTTTTTTTCTACGGATCTTCGTATAAAAATATTGAAAATGGCAAATTTGAACACGCACATACAAAAGGAATTCTATAATGTAAATGCAGTTTGATTTCAACGATATATCTCAAATATTCCGATCTGTAAACTTACTTGGCTACATAAAGTTAAATTGACACAGGAAATTTTTCTGAATTTCCTTTATATGCACTTAATACACCTCGTAGCGCAAGTAGTGCACGGTGTAATATATATGAGAAATTTAACTCTTCGTGAATGCAGTGTAGTTGCACATAACTAGCGAAATTTTCGCAATAAGATCTTAATATCCATATAAACTACTTTTCCTCTTTTGGCACATAAATTATAACAATAACTACTCACCGTTCATATGCTTCGGTGATAGCAAGCCAGGCGAGGCTCTTGTTGCATTATTGGCATTAACTCCCATCACTTGCTGTTGTTGCTGTGCGTTAAGAACTTGCTGCAAGCCAGCCATGCTATTGGGTGAAATGCAATTTGCCGCATTAGCTGCTAAGCTATTTACGTTAACCGTATTTGCTCCTTGTTGTACCACGTTTGTTATGCTACCCACGGCGGCATTACTGGAAGTATTATTATGCGCTAAAAGCAAAGATATATGTGAAGTGTAGACATCAACATGCTGAATCATACTACCATTTTGTAAATGAGAGGAATTTGCCTGAAGATTGGATAGCTGTTGCTGCTGTTGTTGGTTTGTGCCGCCAACAATGGCGTATGAGGCACCTCCATGCACAGGACCATTTTCCTGAAGAGCTTTTTGGAATACGCTATATAAAAATTTCTGGAAACATAAAGAGTAATCGGAAAAAACTTACAGGTGTTATGTTTTGCCACTGCTGCAAATGCAATTGTAGGTGTCGCTTGAATCACAGATTGGCCTTGCAAATTAGCTGCAGCATTGCTGGCGTTCGTTGCTGCAGCTACCACAGCCGCTGCAGCCGCTGCCGTCGGCGCTTGTAAGCTAGGCGCTGGTGTATGCTGTTGCACCGCAGGATTGTGTATAGTTGATGTTCCGTGCGTTGCCGCCACTATTGCTGCTGTTGTGTGCTGTTGTTGTTGTGTGGTGTGATGTGGCTGCTGATGATAACTTTTGCTGGGTGTTGAACTAACAATCTTATTTGCACTTACTGAGACGGGGAGATGGAAAAAATTATTAGTCGAAGATTGATAAAGATTTAATGTAAAGATCATTACCTTCGGAGGAACCACCATTTGTCTTATTTGACGCCCTCACAGCCGTAGGTTTTACCGGCTGTTGCTGCGGTGAAAAATATAATTACTTTCTATTTTCGCAAAAATTTTCTATGTTTACCTTTGTCTTGCTGTTGGCGTTATTTTCATTTTTGTTACGCTTATCCGCAGCGGTATCCGTCGTCGTTGAGTCACTCGAATAATTTAAATTATTTTGCTGCGCCTGCTGCGTGGTGGTGGTTCCACTTGCCGCTATGGCTTGGTTATGGGATTGTTGCTGTTGGACTGGCAAAGGTGACTGCACAGGACTACCGCCAGATGTTATACTACTAGGTGAGCCGCTGGTTTCATTACTATTATTACTATCCGTGGTAGCTGATGATGGAATACCAAGTGAGACACCTTTACCAACGTAGTTATATACAAAATAATGTGGTTGGGAATTGGTTGTTGTTGTTGTTGTTCATGATGTGGTGATAACAGATTCATTGAACAAACATCAATTTTGATTTGTTTCACAAACAAAAACAATCGAATGATTTTACGAAATGAATTTAACGAACATATAAAAAAGCGACAAATTTTTTTTTTATTGTTAATGAAGAGACGAAAAGGAAAATACACAAAACGGCATGTAAAACGTAAAAACATAATCAAGACAAACAACAAGCTAAAAACGCTTACCTGTACCCGAGAGTTCAACTTCATCCAAACCAATTATGTCATCATAAAGGAATTCATTCTCTTCAAAATCAGGTTCTTGCGACGAATCGATATAATATTCCACATCATCCTTGATTTTATTAACCTTAACAAAATATAAATTTCCTTATTCATTATTTTTTATGACAACAATAAAAATAAAAACCTGTTCAGCTTCAACATTATCGTTATCCAATAAACGCAGCAGTGTTTCTAGTTTTGTCACGTGGAATTTATGACGATCCAATTTAGAACGTAATTCGTCCATACGATCTTGTTTGTCACGATCTAAGCGTTTCTTCTTGCCCGCTAATAACGATTCAATTTCACTTTCATACTGATCAATTTGTATTTGCAGTGAACTAATTGAGCTTGTTAACCAATTACGGGCCACATCTTTAATACGTTGAGCGGGATCCATTTTTTGTGCAGCACCTAAACCTTCTTTCGAATACGCCTTAGTTTTAGTCTCCCTTTCGACAACTTTAAAGCGTTCCATTTGCTTTAAGAAAAACATAGAAATACAAAAACTGTTAGATTGTGGTTTTATAATCGGACCTTTCACTTTTTAAAATTGTTTGCGTTAGAATTGTAATGTGTAATGTATGTAAATAAATATGTTATACTAATAGGATTTGCAATAAAAGCGATTCAAACTATGTGGACCTTCTTCATGTTACGCGGTAATTAAGGTTTTTAGATTTGAAATCATCCATTACTGGACTACTTTATATTTACCGTTTCAATTAGTCTACGGTTTTCTAAGAGCGCGCTCTTATCCTTTATTTCAGCCGAGGCAATCCATGATTTGATTTGATCACGTAGTCTTTGCAGTTTTTTAATTTCTTTTTTGAGATCAGCTTCATATTTTTCCTGCAAAAAGAAACAAACCATGTTCAATTCACTTGTTAATAATTATTATGAAAACTTTCCGCATACCTTCTGATTGCTGTTGGTGGCATTATGTACTTTTTTCCATATATCTTCAAATGTTTCTACACCTTCCGCTACCTTTTTTAAACAACGATCTATTTCACCTGGAATTTGTTGGAAAAAAGACCCATTTTATAATTGTAATATGTTGTGTAAGGATGCGAACGCTTGCCTTGCAACTTTCTCGTCGCAGCCATGGCTATGTGTATAGTTGTTTATTTTGTTGTTGCAAATGCTTAGACATAGTCCGCTAGAACTACACTGTATGTACTATAACAGACGCCTGAAAAACCGCAACACAATTTTGTGCAAAAGCGTCCTTTAACTTATGCTCCAAAGCGGTGTAAAACTGAGAAAATGTTGAAATTGGCTTTTATGAAAAGCTCTGAAATACACATAAAAATAAATAAATGTAAGAGCATAGATTGTTCTTAAAATCTCTGAATATTTTTAGCATTTGTTTGCTTAGCAAGCGCAAGTCTTCCTAAGGATCTGTGTTCAATTTTTTGGTTTTTTTTTGCTTATTATTATTATTATCTCTAAAGAGAGTTTACTCTTGAGGCCACTGAGGCATCTTCCTTCCAATTTGCAACTTGATATTAAAATATATTTATATATATATTTATTTGTAAGAGTGTATATATGCTGGTGTTAGTTAATTGTTGTCGACTCTAAAATAGAATGTCGCAGTTATTTTTGTTGGTAATGTTTATCTGGCATAGCATGCGTTTAACTTTTGCCCTAAGGATTTTTGAAGTTTTTTACTCCTTGAGTGTCGAAAGATTCGTTTGAATTTTTAATTTTTCGTTGTGGAATGGACCAGCTTTTCATGAAACCTTTGCTTTCCAATTATATACCCACGAATAGGGAGAAAAATTTGTATACGAAAAACAGCGTAAGACTTTCGTAGCTTCATATTAATTTTCTTGCTATTTTGCTTGTTCTTTCATTTCGTATATGCTTCTTCTTCTTCCTTTTAATATTGCTTTTTTACTGACACAACTTATCAACTTAAACTCACTTTTTTATATAGTTTTTACTCTGCGCACACAATATTTCGTTTATATTTTTAATTTTAATTGGAATACTTTTTCAATTGCAGTACAAAAATGGCTTTTTAATGGATTTTCTTTTCCGCTGCAAAGCGACTGTCAACTGTTTCGATTTTTTTCACTACTACATAGTGTTTCCAACATTTGGTATTTCTTTCCATTTTTAAGAATGCGATTCCTGTGAGCGAGTCTGAAGACTGTAAAGTTTATATAAAAAAAAGTCATAAAGCACATTTCGGAATAAAAATATAGAGCCTTTAAAGTCTCTGTTTTTATTTTAAAATCTGATGAATACAAAATTTTTAATATATGTGACTGATGCCATTACAAATAATAATGAAGAATAAATCACAAATGTACGTTTGCACTAAGCATTTGTGAATACAAGTATATATATATAAATATATATATATATATATATAGAAAGCTATATAGAAAGAAATATATATAGAAAGCTTTTGCACAGGACAAATATATATAATATTCGATGCTTAATTCTAGTGCGTTTTCCGAACAAGTCATTCGGATATCGCATTGTGACAAAACGATGCATGCGTACCTTGTATCTGTTTCACGTATGCAATATTTTATATATATATATATATACATTATTTATAAGTGCCATATAAAAAGTATAAATCGAAATAACAACGAAATTTATAGAGTAAAATAGGAATTCTTTTCAAAAAAATTGCGATTCTCACACTATTAGTAATTTGATTGTTTTAAGTTATAAATATATATTTAAATTTTGATTGGGGTTGCGATAAAATAAGTAGTACCTACATCCCTTTTAGCCTTTTTAGCTTTAAGTAGTACCTACATCCCTTTAGCCACAGTAACTTGTAATTAAATCAATAGGAAGGTTTAAAATTTTTTGTTTTTGTTTTCCTTCATCAGACAATGAAAATCCAACTAAATTTTCTATTTGCACCTTAGCGCATGTATGTGTATTCTTAAGTCACTTATGAAGATTTCGGTCCGACTTGTTTTTTCATAATTTCAAATAGAACTCATCACCTTCCACACTAATGAGAGATTGAAACTGAAGACCATAAAAGAGTATCATAAAAGTTCTTACCACTTGTAAAAATATATTGTTAAGTTTTTAGGAAAAATTAAACAATTTTCCAAAGTATTGACATATCCGGTTGAGAAGATGGTTGAGAAAAACGTACCCGTTCCCGTTGAAAAACTCTTGGAAAAAAAGGTGCCCGTTGCCGTTGAAAAAGAAGTGCCTTATCCTGTTCGAAAGAACCGTACAAGTATGTGCATCCTCACGGTGTGAGATTAGATGAACACTCCGGCGTTATGCACATTCATGAAGATCACTTGAGTCATCAAGAAGACTACAGGAGTTAATTCGTAAACCAAACCATCAACAAGCGCGCAATTCGAGGATGTTGATTGCTTTCGTGTTGTCTCTTTCTTTTGTAAAAATGTATAGATCGTTCGCGTAGAGACAATGTTCCAGTCTTGGTACACGGCAAAGAATTTGGCTAATTTCGTTAAAGGCGATCTGGAAAAGCGTGACAGAGAGACGAGATCCTTGCGGAATGCCATTTATTAGCGGAAAGGAATAAGAGACATGATTGTTGATTCTAATTTTGGACCGCCGATGCGACATGAATGATTTGATGTAGTTTAAGAATTTGGGTCCAACATTCCACGATTTCAAGAGTCTTAAAATAACATGAAGACCAACTCTGTCAAATGCTTTTTCGAAATCAATTGAAAGAACTATTACTTGATTTCGTTCGGAAATTGATTTGCTCGTGAAAAAATCAATATGTAACAGAGCGTCGATGCAACCTCTACCCCGCTTGAAACCAACTTGTTGCTTTGTAATCAGGTTCTTGGACTCTAGAAGCCAAGATTATCAAAAATATCGTATTGTATAAGTCCAGCAATTTCTTTTTACTTGAATTAGACAGCGCACTGATCATTTGGTATGAGATGCGGTCTAGACCAGGTGTCTTCCTCTTTGATTTGAAAACGCAACTTTCAAGTTCTAAGGTGGGTATGCAATTTTCCAGGAACATGGCACATCTATCAATATTATTTGAAAGAGAAATTGGAGTCCTTTTATTTTCGATGAAAGCACTGGAAAAGTTGCTGTCAAAGGAGTATTCGCACCACATTTGTCCAAAGTAATTAGAAATATCATGTGTTCAGTTGGGACTGCAGATGGCAGAGATTTCGTTCAAATTTGGAGTCCCATTAATTGATTTTGTTGCAGACAACTTTCATTGATGTATTTCTGTGAATTCCTCTCGAAAAAAGTTCGAAACTAAGTGCCTTCCATTTTCGTAATTCCTTCCTGAATAGAGCGTTGGCCTTTTTGTATAATAACAAATGATTATGATTAGGACATCTCTTTTTATTTTTCCTCCAAAACGAAAGCGTGTTGTTCCACCAAGGAACTATAGCTCGTTTAAAAGACCTGTTGGATTGAAGAATAGAAAGATGAGCAGCCGTGCGAATCGCTTTAGACGTAATAGCAGCATCTTGGTTGCAGTTCCCGTTAAATGGCTTTGAATACAGAAATGACTCGGTCTATTTGGAGTAATTGATCCAATCCGCTTTATCTAGGAAGTATTTGGTATTTTGCTGGAGTAACAGGGGACATTGAAAGTTTAAGAGAAGATTATGATTGGAAAGTGATCACTATTATGTGGATCATTAGAAATAGACTAGGAAACCAAAGGAAGAAGTGAGGGAGAGCAACATGTTAAATCAATATGTGAAAAAGTGTGATGAAAAGTAGAATAATCTGGACTTAAGTGTTTGCGTAAATTTGAAGTGCAACGAGTGAAATTGAAGGTTGATTGAGGGATGAAAGATTGGATTCATTACAGCTTGTAATTTGTTGAGTAGAATTGAGAACTGGTGATTCTGCGGGATTTAGTTTATTAGATTTTGTCATATGTGTTGTTGTTTTAATTTTTTCAATATTTGTTGTTGTTTTGATTTGTCTATTATTTAGTAAATTGGGAAATAACCACTCACTTGAAAAGGTTTGGGAACTGTGGAAGAAGGTTGGGAGCTACTAAAGAAAAATGTGAATTGTTTTCAATTTTTTTATTTTTATATTTCTTTTTTCGTTTTTTTTATTTTTTTATTATACATAGAGGTAACTAAAGCACATACGCGATATCCGCATTAACCAGTTCTAGCAAAAACACTGAAAAGACAGGAGTTAAATACACAAAAACATCGAAACAATTGCAAAGTCGCAGACGAAAAGAAAACACGCACTACACTGAACACAAGTCGACTCGGTTTGTATGCTACTATATTAAATGTAAGTTTGTTTATATAAAATTTTGTGAATAAATATTCGATTTTAATTATTTAAAATGTTAAGGCAAGTGAAATTCAGAGCACTCGGCTTGAGTTCAATCTCTCTGTCTTGAATGTTTGAAAGTTAAAATATCTCCCTTTCAACCGTTCCCATTAAATAACAAAAAATCATGTTTAAAGCAAATTTTAATTATTTAATTGTTTGTACTGTAATTGTAACACTCTCCCGCTTTAAGGGTTTCCAATCTGTTATTAATGTTAAAAATATAAAAGATATAAAGTTGGACATACAAAGATCACTGCGATTAGTCTATAAAGAATTTCCAACATAGTTTCTCCGACTTCTACATATTTCTGTTAGAATATTGATTCGTATAAATATCTTAAAGAAACATTCTCCGCAAAATAAAGTTCCATAGAGGTGGTAGTAGTGTATTTTGTTAAGGTTTTTCTAACAAGCATAGAATATGTAAATGGCCATCCTACCTTATAGCTATTTATTAGCAGTGCGCAAAATTTCCGCAGATATCTCACTGAAACACGCACTTTTAAATGCATGCCAGCAGAGATCTGCTTTAATTTAAACAAACTGCTTTAAAACAATTCGGTCACCCTATTATACAAATTCGATCGGGTGGCCGAGCGGTCTGAGGCACTGGACTCAAGGAGCGAATAGGGGAGGGCCAGGGGTGAAACGCTGGCAACTTTGGTTAATGTTGACTATTAAACTTAATAAAGTTAGTGTTAATCTTACTCAATGTTTATGCACGGCAAATAAGGAGAGTTTTAATTTACCTTAGATTCAATATTCAAGACGAAGTTAAAGTGAAAAGTTAGTCCATTGACTGTAAAACATTAGAAAAACTATTTGAGGGGAATATTTGGACCGTTTAGATAATTTTTTATTGAATTTAAATGATATTGATGTATATTATGCTTAAATACTCATCATAATGGGATAGAAACATTACAAGATTGTTTTTCCATTTGTTACGTTTAGAAATATTCCTTAAAAATACCATAAAATAGATATTCCCAATCAGCAGTATAATTTTACTAAGTTCGTTCCTTCGTCCGCATATCTGCCGTTCGTTGTTGTAAATGCGCATAGCTTACGCGACAAGCCCACAACCGTGACCATGCACATGACGCGCACAAACCCTGACTTATAACTAATTGCTGATGTTAATCCAAATTTTCCTTAAACGTGTCGCAAGGTCACCTAAAGATAGTTATGAAAGCTTTCCCATTTTGCTAAATGTCACGCAAACCTTCCAGGACGCTAGGGTTGGCTTCTTTAGGAAGTAGATAGTTTTTCTATCTAGAGTGTCTTTTCATATAAGGCTTTTTTCGTTCCACTGTAAAGTTTCATTCATTATGCTAAAAAAAAAAATAAATAAAAATGGAAAAAACATATGAAATTGTTTACAATTCAAAAGGTGGTATGGAAATTGAAATGAAAAACATATGAAATCAAAGGGAGGTATGGAAATTCGATTGAAAAACATATGAAAGTTCATTTTAAATGTTTTTTTTGTCCCTTGGTCTACTTTGAAAATAAAATATATGTTTTTGGAATGCATTTATACACCATATAGATGATGCTGAATCTGAACTGAATTGTAAACCAGTAGGCATGAAATATTTTGCTACTTTAAGCAATAGATGGCACAATGTCTGGCTGAATATTATCGGTATAATTATCAAGAAGGGGCTGTATGTGTCAATGGGATATGTAAGGTAAGTGAGAAAAGGCTTGGTTTATTTCCGCATTAATTCTGCTATTCGGCTCGGCTGG